GCATGACTGTTGTGTGCTCTAGCTCGAGTCCCTTCAAAAGCAAAAGCTGCCTTCATGGCTCACAGTCATAATAACATGATTACAAACAAATAAGGAAATGGGTGGGGCTGGAACCCATGGCTGGCGAGTCTTAAAACTCATGTTATTACAGTTTTGTTGGTCATGATGGCAGCTTTGAGGGGACGAGCTAGAGCACACCACAAGCTGATGGAGGATTCATTTGGAAAAACCTGCATTTGGTCAGTGGGGGCCCATGCTAACATTCCTATGGTGTATAGAAATATACCTAGATTCCATCATGATGCTTCAATTAAAAACTTAATAGATGCCATCAAGCACATAAATTGAAAAAGAAAGCTAGAGTAGAAAGCTTCCTCACTATTAAAAAACACTACAATATACACTGCCACAAAAATCCTCAACAACCCATGGTTCACAAAAGGCTTGCTCATATTGATAAAAACCGTGATAATGAAAAGAGGTGCAGGCTAGGACTTCTTTACAAGGAAATAATAGTAATAATAATAATATACATATACTTGTAGTAAATAATTATAAGGGTCGCCCTGCCTCGGTGGGAGACGGCAGACTTGTTGAAAAAAAAAAAAAAAAATATGTATAAGGTATACAGGCCTAGCTGACATCAGTGACATACTACTATATAGAAAGCCACTTGTTATGCTGAGCATTTCAGGCAAATTAGGTCAATGTGCCAGAATGCGACCCACACCAGTCGACTAACGCCCAAGTACCCATTTTACTGATTGGGAACATAGACGACCGGTGTAAGGAAACATGCCCAATGTTTCTACCCTGGTTGGGAATCGAGCCCAGACCCTCACTGTGTGAAGCGAGAGCTTTAGCCACCAGAGCCTCTCACAAGAATATAGTATCCAAGCAAAATTACTATTCTAGTAGATTCAACAACTCTATATGATATAAATAAAAATAATCCTCTCCCTCAGCTAATGACACTGAATAAGCTGAGCAATTTCTTCTCTACAGTAAGAACTAATATTGCAAACAATATACCAGAGGCCTATACAAAAATTGAAGGTTATCTGAACAATGATTACTGAAACCTTCTACTCAGCTCCCACTGACTTATTAAATAAACAATTTGAGCTAGGTCAGCAACACTTATTAAATAAAAGTCTGAGCTAGTAATACAGCAACAATTATTAAATAAACAATTTGAGCTAGTAGTACCCACCATTATCTTAAAAAAAGCTGCACTAAGTATTAACTCCAATCATTTCATTACTTTTCATCAAATCACTTTAGGTTCACATCTTTACAGACTGTCTTGAGAGCCATGATAACATTCATCCACAAAGATGGCAGTCAAACTGGTCTTAACAATCACAGATCAATATCTAATTGACCAATACATACTATCAAAAATATTTGAGAAAGTGATTCATATGCAGGTGTATCCATACTTAATCAATGTTCTTATTCCTTGCCAATTTAGATTCAGGCTCAACAATACCTGGTAGCACTAATGATGCAATCATAAAAATGCTTGACACAATTTACATAGCACTTCACAGAAATGAATATCATATTAGGTACTTTACTGATCTCCATAAGGCTTTTGATAGAGTTGACCCCAATATTCCATGGGGTGAGTGCTGAACCCCCAGGGATCATACAGTGTCCAGCAGAATGGGAGGAAATCAGGTTCGATCCAAGAATTCCTTCGATCAGGAGTATTGTAGTGGTGTGGGAGTGTTGCAGTGGTGTGGGAGTGTTGCAGTGGTGTGGGAGTGTTGCAGTGGTATGGGAGTGTTGCAGTGGTGTGGGAGTGTTGCAGTTGTGTGGGAGTGTTGTAGTGGTGTGGGAGTGTTTCAGTGGTGTGGGAGTGTTGCAGTGGTTTAGGAATGAGTAGTTGTAAGGATGAGGGAGTGAGTTGGAATGTGAGGGACAATAAATTATAAGAATGTGAGAATCAAAATATATTAATATCTTGCAAATAGGTTTACCACTTTTTTGATAAGATGCAGTATTTGAAATGTTTGACTCTGGCTTATCTGTTAAATGTGTATAACTTTCACAGATAAAGCAAACAACTACAGTACAAGTTTATTTTTTACAGTACAGTACATGCCAAGAGCATGTAGTACATGCACAATGTTTCTCCTGAATACAATGTTTCTCCTGATTACAAGGTTTCTTCTGAATACAATGTTTCTCCTGAATACAATGTTATAGTCTACCAGAGAAATAGGAGGTACATGACATCCTGTAATTCATGTCAGGTGCAGTAGCAATAACTCTACAAATTTTTGTTCTCAGTACAAGCAGCTGCGAGCACACATTTTAAAATTATAGCTAAAGCTATACATAGTATATAGAATTAAATGATTAAACTATTTTCTAAAGCTAAAAAACAAAACGTGTTTTCCTTTACTTCATATGAAACCATCATAATCTCCAACTTTCAATTCTGGTCAGTCCTGCCATAGCCAAAATAAATAATTGTACTTATTGAGAAGTTAAAAATTACAAAGGCCAAAACATCATATAAACTAAATATAGATTGTTAGCCCTTATTACACTGTAAAATTACATTATCTGAATACAGTATGTACTAGCAATAGCCATTCTTCCAGTGACAAAACAGTCTAATTCCATTGGCTTCCTGACTAGCCAATGGAATGCATGCGTGTGTCCATGCTCCAGTGGGAGCCAATAAATATTCTCATCTTAGAGGCAGCAGCACTGCTTGCTCTAACCCTTTCCCAAAAAATTAATTCTTTGAAGTTAATTTACACAAAACTTACGTTTGGTACTGTTGCATTCCTCATTTTCAGTGCTTCATCGTTTATATATTTTTAATGCTTAAATTTTCTTGCAAATTTTCTAAATTTTCATCACTGTGCACCCCTAGGGATCTGGGGATCCCAATTTGGAAACTGCTGTACTAGGATGAGAAAGTTCTCCATAGAGAATTTGAATCTTCTGTAATTCCATTGTTGAACATAGTCATGATGAGTTAAGTTGCACAATGATCATAGGTGGCAACAGGACACATGTGCAATACTAAGGAACTTTAATATCTTTAGATTTCACCCACCAGGTCACTATCAATCCAACATAGAGATCATGAACAGAGAATAATAGACAGTGGAGCAGACAGGTGTGGTGGGGAGTGAGGGAACTATGACATAGGGCAGGTGTAGTGGGGAGTGAGGGAATTATAACACAGGACCAGGTGTAGTGGGGAGTGAGGGAACTATAACACAGGCCAGGTGTAGTGGGGAGTGAGGGAACTATAACACAGGCCAGGTGTAGTGGGGAGTGAGGGAACTATAACACAGGCCAGGTGTAGTGGGGAGTGAGGGAACTGTAACACAGGCCAGGTGTAGTGGGGGGGGAGGGAACTATAACACAGGCCAGGTGTAGTGGGGAGTGAGGGAACTATAACACAGGCCAGATGTAGTGGGGAGTGAGGGAACTATGACATAGGGCAGGTGTAGTGGGGAGTGAGGGAACTATAACACAGGTTGCTGTCACCTGACAAGTGTCCCTATGGTTCAAGATTATTCTTAATGTTGCACATGTGTCTTATTTATACACTTCTCTGTGTTAAACAATATCTTCTCAAATAGTGTTAACATTGTCAAGTCTAGTACAATTCACATTTTGTCTAATTTTCTATGCTTTACTGTTATCACAGTCATTATAAATTACACTAATATTTTTTTATTTTGTTCATAAAAATGTATGTTTTAAGTCAACTCACTGTAAAATATGAATGTTTTTTCTGATCCTCGTATAAAATTATTATCCTTGTTAATAATAATAGATAAACAATAATAATATAGGTAGTAGGTTGGTAGACAGCATCCGCCCAGGGAGGTACTACCGTCCTGCCAAGTAAGTGTAAAATGAAAGCCTGTAATTGTTTTACATGATGGCAGCATTGCTGGTATCTTTCTTCTTTCAAATAAACATACAAGATTTCATGTATGTCTTCCTACTTCTAATTACACTTAGATCACACTACACATGCATGTACAAGCACATTACTACACACCCCTCTGGGTTTTCTTTTATTTTCTTACTAGTTCTTGTTCTTGTTTATTTCCACTTATTTCCATGGGGAAGTGGAACAGAATTCTTCCTCCATAAGCCATGTGTGTTGTAAGAGGCAATTAAAATGCTGGGAGCAAGGGGCTAGTAACCCCTTCTCCTGTATAAATTACTAAAGTTAAAAAGAGAAACTTTTGTTTTTCTTTATGGGCCACCCCGCCTCGGTGGGATACAGCTGGTTTGTTGAAAGAAGAAGAAATAATAATAATATTTTTTTTATTATTCACCCTTGTCTACCCTTGTACGTATTAGGTTAAGATCTGCTGGAAATATTATTTGTAATAATGGCTTTCCAAAACATTATACCATGCCTTCATACTACATGCATACTGCATGGAAAAACACATTATTTATATTACATTACTTATATTATGGACTTTTCCAACAAATTTGCAATTCCCCTCAAATTCTTATAAAATTTAATACGTAAATTGACTGAGAAGTAAATACAACCTCTCCTCACTTAACGACAGAGTTCTGTTCCTAAGATGACATCATTAAACGAATTCGTTGCTAAGTGAGGATCATACTATAAAGGTAGTGTCAACCATCTTTGATATTGTTTTAATGTCACCTTTGCACCATTTATAACATTTCTGGTATATTTTTAAATGTTTATATAGTAGTGTACTGCACATTGAAATACACCTACCATCCGACTTACGACCTGCTCGACTTACGACCACTTGACTTACGACCATGTTTTTTATGCCAAATTTCTGGGAAATAAACAACTATTTGTGTTGTACACAGTGTTTATCCTAAACCTTACAGTATAAAATACAGTACTAACAGCATAAAAAGTAAAGTAAAACATGAAATACCAAAATAAAACAATAAAATAAAGTCATTACAAAAATGTTTTGTTGACATTCAGTAGTAAAGTTCGACTTACGACCGGTTTCTCGGAACCGAACTCGGTCGTAAGTCGGATGGTAGGTGTAATCAGAATAGAGGAAATCAGCTCTAATATACATTATTTAGGTATAAATATTGGTCAGACAGCCCGTTGTAAGTCTGAGGCATTGGTAAATGAGTACGTCGCTAAGTGAGGAGAGGCTGTATTTATTAAATGATCTGATTCCTTAAAATCTAAGTATTCCTTGACTCCAAGCTTTATTTCAGGGAAGGGTTAGAATAATTGCTTTAATATTCATCCTGTTATCCTGGTTATGCTATTAATTCTTAAGATTAAGAATAAAATTCTTCATTACCAATCAGTGCATTACAAAATACTGTAGTATATAATAACTTCCAACAGGCGTGCGTGAGCGTGTTCGATAGGAGTGAATGGAGACGAATGGTATTTGGGACCTGACAATCTGTTGGAGTTTGAGCAGGGTAATATTTAGTGAAGGGATTCAGGGAAACCGGTTATTTTTATATAGCCGGACTTGAGTCCTGGAAATGGGAAGTACAATGCCTGCACTCTAAAGGAGGGGTTCGGGATATTGACAGTTTGGAGGGATATGTTGTGTATCTTTATACATATATGCTTCTAAGCTGTTGTGTTCTGAACACCTCTGCAAAAACAATGATTATGCGTGAGTGAGGTGAAAGAGTTGAATGATGATGAAAGTATTTTCTTTTTGGGGATTTTCTTTCTTTTTGGGTCACCCTGCCTTGGTGGGAGATGGCCGACTTGTTAAAAAAAAAAATAATAATAATAATAATCAGAAAGTCCATAAGATTCACAGTATTTCAAGCACTTTTCTGAATCTAACAGTGTTGGTGGGACAATTTGTGCAGTCACATAAGCATTACAACTACAGGAGTGCCCAAGTTCTATGGCAATAAGCAAAAATTGCAGGCAGGTGGAAAAAAAAAAAATTTTCAATATCAACAGCATCTAAAATGCCTGATAATGTATTTACACTATCACTATCTTTTTGGTTTTTACTTTTTTTTTCAGTCACCCTGCCTTGATGGGAAACGGCCAAGGTGTTAAAACAAAAAAATATTAGGTGCTCAATACAGCTAGGCATAAAAAAAAGAGATACAAGAGTAAAATAAATGCACAGTACATTCAATACTTACCTTAAAATATGCTGCTCGTCACCCTTCCCTTACATAATGGTTGTATGGAAAAGCCGAAAAAGCATAGAACACCAAAAATAGGGTGCTGAATATGCAGGACCCTCCTGTATATGCGTTATGGTGGGTGTGTACCCAGTACTACCATACTTCACAGGATAAAGAGTATTATTATTATTATTATAATCAAAAAGAAGCGCTAAGCCACAAGGGCTATACAGCAGGATAAAGAGTAGACTTGTTTCATCACTGCATCATCAGCAAACAGCATCCACAGTATTACAGAAGATACTTTATTCCCTTTGCATTAACCCATGCAAAGGGCCTAGTTTCTGTACCTTAAAGCCTTTAAGAAGCAAAACAGCTGCAGCTCAATTCAACTCTCCCAGAAGTTCAGGAGCTTGACAGCAACATCTTCACATAGCCTTGAAGCTGTAGCTTAACATCCTCATAATGCCAAGGAATTATAGATCAATACCCATAAGAGGCAAAGGAGCTGTAAATCAACGCTCAAGAGGCCCAGGTGAACCCTAACTCGAGTTACACCTGTAATACGAAGCAAATCATGTGAAGCTAGGATGGCAATGTTCAAAGAATTTTGTATTCTATTATATGATTAGAGTGACAATTTTTTTCAGTATTTAGATAAAAGTAGGGAAGTTTTTATTGCATTTATGGATTTAGAAAAGGCATATGATAGAGTGGATAGATTATTATTATTATAATCAAGGGGGAAGCGCTAAACCCGGAGGATTATACAGCGCCTGGGGGGGGGATGTGGAAGGCATTCAGGCTTAATTCGGGGAACTGGAGCACAGATCCAATTCCCTAAATCAAGAGCCCCTCACCAACATCAAGGAACCTTCCTTGAGGGGAGAGTGGATAGAGGAGCAATGTGGCAGATGTTGCAAGTTTATGGAATAGGTGGTAAGTTACTAAATGCTGTAAAGAGCTTTTATGAGGATAGTGAGGCTCAGGTTAGGGTGTGTAGAAGAGAGGGAGAATACTTCCCGGTAAAAGTAGGTCTTAGACAGGGATGTGTAATGTCACCATGGTTGTTTAATATATTTATAGATGGGGTTGTAAAAGAAGTAAATGCTAGGGTGTTCGGGAGAGGGGTGGGATTAAATTATGGGGAATCAAATTCAAATTGGGAATTGACACAGTTACTTTTTGTTGATGATACTGTGCTTATGGGAGATTCTAAAGAAAAATGCAAAGGTTAGTGGATGAGTTTGAGAATGTGTGTAAAGGTAGAAAGTTGAAAGTGAACATAGAAAAGAGTAAGGTGATGAGGGTATCAAATGATTTAGATAAAGAAAAATTGGGTATCAAATTGGGGAGGAGGAGTATGGAAGAAGTGAATGTTTTCAGATACTTGGAGTTGACGTGTCGGCGGATGGATTTATGAAGGATGAGGTTAATCATAGAATTGATGAGGGAAAAAAGGTGAGTGGTGCGTTGAGGTATATGTGGAGTCAAAAAACGTTATCTATGGAGGCAAGAAGGGAATGTATGAAAGTATAGTAGTACCAACACTCTTATATGGATGTGAAGCTGGGTGGCAAATGCAGCAGCGAGGAGACGGTTGGAGGCAGTGGAGATGTCCTGTCTAAGGGCAATGTGTGTGTAAATATTATGCAGAAAATTCGGAGTGTTGAAATTAGGAGAAGGTGTGGAGTTAATAAAAGCATTAGTCAGAGGGCAGAAGAGGGGTTGTTGAGGTGGTTTGGTCATTTAGAGAGAATGGATCAAAGTAGAATGACATGGAAAGCATATAAATCTATAGGGGAAGGAAAGAGGGAGTAGGGGTCGTCCTCGAAAGGGTTGGAGAGAGGGGTTAAAGGAGGTTTTGTGGGTGAGGGGCTTGGACTTCCAGCAAGCGTGCATGAGCGTGTTAGATAGGAGTGAATGGAGACGAATGATACTTGGGACCTGACGATCTGTTGGAGTGTGAGCAGGGTAATATTTAGTGAAGGGATTCAGGGAAAACCGGTTATTTTCATATAGTCGGACTTGAGTCCTGGAATGGGAAGTACAATGCCTGCACTTTAAAGGAGTGGTTTGGGATATTGGCAGTTTGGAGGATATGTTGTGTATCTTTATACGTATATGCTTCTAAGCTGTTGTATTCTGAGCACCTCTGCAAAAGTAGTGATAATGTGTGAGTGTGGTGAAAGTGTTGAATGATGATGAAAGTATTTTCTTTTTGGGGATTTTCTTTCTTTTTTGGGTCATCCTGCCTCGGTGGGAGACGACCGACTTGTTGAAAAAAAAAAAAAAAAAAAAAAAAAAAAAAAAAAAAAAAAAAAAATAGGTCTTGCTCTTATACCGTGGTAACCAATACACGACAGAACAGAACAGAGGACTCACAGGTAAGGACCCACTAGGGGCGAGAGGCAAGTGGGGACAGGGCAAAGAATAGTCGATGAGAGGAATGTCTTGAGTCGAAGAGAGAAGAGTCAGGACTAGACCCACGTACATTGATTTTCATGAAACTCATGGCAGTTATTCTCCTGTGCAAGAAAATGTGCTAGAACATAACATTTTAAAAATTTATGATTAAAAGTCTGAATAAGCTTAATTTTTCCAGTTTAATAAAACTGGCAAAATGGGACTTAAATTGCCCATCAGTAAGGCAAACATTCCTATGAGAAAAATACACTTGCACTGAAAGTTTGAAATCAATCAAAAGGAGCATTCTCCAGTTATACAATTGGTAAATTTGCATCTACACAAGCTAATATTATAAGGATCTTGCCTTCTGGTTAGATGTACTGCATTAGCACTGAAAATTTAAAGCCATTCAGAAGAGGCAATCTTCAGTTATCCCATGTAAACCAATAAAATGTTATCTTTAAAACTAGCAAAACTGTCACCTACATTTCCCAGTTACAATCTAATCAAAAGAGGCATTCTTAAGTTATTGAGCAGAAACTATAGAGGAAGAATTTTTTTTTTTTTTTTTTTTTTTTTTTTTTTTTTTTTTTTTTTTTTAATATAACTAAGTATTCCCTTATGGGGGCCCCTCATGGAAGGTTCCTTGATGTTGGTGAGGGGCTCTTGATTTAGGGAATTGGATCTGTGCTCCAGTTCCCCGAATTAAGCCTGAATGCCTTCCACATCCCCCCCTCCCCTGGGCGCTGTATAATCCTACGGGTTTAGCGCTTCCCCCTTGATTATAATAATAATAATCCCTTATGGGGGATATCTAATAAAAGTAGAAATACATTATATGTTCAGTTCTCATATGTAGCTCCTCTACAGAGTGCAATTTTTCATATATAAAATTATAAAAGTCCATTAAAATTTTGTATGTACTTTTTTACACTGCTCAACAAAGAACTAACCTTTGAAGACACAATAACTATTATCAATAGTTATTTAGAATTGCAAGCGAGAATTTGTAAATAATGGTTGACAGTGATTAACAAAATTGTACCTGGAGAGACATAATTGTGTCTTCAAAGGTTAGTTCTTTGTTGAGCAGTGTAAAAAAGTACATACAAGATTTTAATGGACTTTTATAATTTTATATATAAAAATAGTGTTATCCATATATAGTGAGAGCTGATTAAAAATACTGGGAGGATAACACTTGGTCTTTTTGGCTTTAATGGCCCTATATCACTCTCTTATTTACCCCTATCTCACCTATGGAATTTGTGCATGGGGCTCAACAACAATTAACCATCTCAGACCACTAATTACCCAACAAAAGGCTGCAGTCAGAATGATAACAAATTCCCACTACAGGCAGCACACTCCACCAATATTCAAAACACTAAACCTACTCACCACACAAAACATCCATACTTATTACTGCACCTATTACATACATAGAACACTTAACTCTGATATTAACCCTCCCCTCAAACATCTCCTTACCAACCTCAACAGAACACATGACCATAACACAAGGCACAGATCACTCTTTGATGTTCCTCGTGTCCATCTCACGCTATGCAAAAACTCAATGCACATAAAAGGCCCTAAAATCTGGAATTCATTACCTGTAAATATAAAAGAAACACTACCTGTTTATAAATTCAAGTCTCTTCTCAAAGATCACTTACTCACCCAAAACTAAATAAGTACTGAATAACTGAACCTTATAAATTGTATATCTTAAATGTTTCTCACAATTATATCACATAAATGTTAAACCTAAGACCCAATCTAACTTTGTTATTTTTTAAATACACTACCTAACAGAATACTCCATTCGACTGAATGTACAGCAATGCATGCAACTATATGACCTGTCTTTGTAATACTCATTTGTGCTTTATTGTTATCTGTTTACAATAATGTTTTATCACTGATTACATCATTGCTTAGTTAATCTTAAGTTAATTTTAAGCTTGCCCGTAATGCTATGCATACAAGTGGCTTTGGCATGCTGCTCTTACCTGTATTTTTTTGTATCTCTGTATGTATGCTCAAATTACTAAATAAATAAATAAATAAATAAATTAATGCATCATTAAATGAATGCAAGCCAATGAGTACTGTCCATTATCACATCTCAAGTTGACTCTGCCCCCTTGAGGAACAAAATTTGTATTGTGTCTCTTGGCGTAGCTATGGTGTTCACAAAACATAATTAATATATGACAACAACAAGCTACTTTTTAAAAATGTTACCCAATGTAAATTATTACATTATAAATAATGAAGTATGTGACATAATAGTTCATATATGTATGTATTAATCTAGTCAATATTTTAATGATAGGAAAACCTGTTTTTTATGGGAACACACTTTTTCCTGGCTGGAAGCACACTAATGCAATGGTTCTTTTCTATATTCAGGTTAATTTCAAGTGTTGATGTTTGGCTAATAACAGAGAACTGTTTTACAAAAAAGACATCACAAAATGCATTAGAACATGGAAAATGTCAATTTTTCAACACTATTTTTCTTTTAAGAAAAGCATCCTCTACGAAGACTGAAGCTGTATAGTCCTTGTGGCTTAGCGCTTCTTTTTGATTATAATAATAATAATACGAAGACTGAGAACTGAATGTGCAATGAAAATATTTTAAACTTGTACACATTATTTATTTTAAAATACATATATTTATGGAAAAGCCAAATAAACTCTGATGTATAAAAATAACAATGTTGAATATTATAAGATATAATTACATTAATATTTTTGCTACATACTTCATGAAGGTTACTTAAAAAAATTAACATAAGTATCATGAAAAATTATTTAGATATACCCAATAAATGTTTCCACTACTTGGTGAAAGTGTTGAATGATGATGAAAATATTTTCTTTTTGGGGATTTTCTTTCTTTTTGGGTCACCCTGCCTCGGTGGGAGACGGCCAACTTGTTAAAAAAAAAAAATCTATTTTCCTAATTTAGTGAGTGTGGTGGTACTTATATTACAGTAACAATGTATAAAAGTACTCTGATTTTAAAACCAAGACTAACTAGCAAACTGTCCATACAAATACGTACTTTTTCAAGTAAAATGTAATGGCGTGTTTGATACAAACATCATTACTTACAGTATGTAAGATGAGGTATAAATCAGTCATTCTGAATAGATTTAGTATTTGTCATCATGAATAGGAATATTCTGATAAGACTTTTAGTTTTTGTGACCAAATATAATGTCAGTCTGACTAGACTTGCCATATTAGAAGAGATTTACCAAAAACATTACCAGCTAGATATGAATATACAGTGGACCCCCGCATAGCGAACGCCTTGCATAGCGAACAATCCGCATAGCGAACGCTTTGTTCGCCAAAATTTTGCCCCGCATAGTGGACAAAAACCCGCTCAGCGACCTTCGTCCGAGACGCGTCCAATGTGCGGCCTCAGCCAGCCTCACATGTGCCGCCCGTCCCATTGTTTACCAGCCAGCCTCCGCGGTAACATTCAAGCATACACTCGGAATATTTCGTATTATTACAGTGTTTTCGGTGCTGTTTCTGGAAAATAAGTGACCATGGCCCCAAGAAAGCTTCTAGTGCCAACCCTGTGGTAAAAAGGGTGAGAATTAGTATGGAAATTAAGAAAGATTTTGAAAGGTTTGGGGCTAACCCTGAGAAGCCTATGCCAGTTGTGGAATCCATTGTGCCTACTTCAAAAATTAAGGAAATGTGTGCACAGTGGGTTGAACTGCAAACCTTTATGGATGAAAATCACCTGACACAGCTGTTGCAAGCCGTGCTGGTGACTATTTCAATGACAATGTTATGGCCCATTTTAGACAAATCGTAAAGGAACGGGAGGTACAGAGCTCTATGGACAGATTTGTTGTGCGACAGAGGTCCAGTGACTCTGAAGCTGGTCCTAGTGGCATTAAAAGAAGAAGGGAAGTAACCCCGGAAAAGGACTTGCTACCTCAAGTCCTAATGGAAGGGGATTCCCCTTCTAAACACTAACACTCTCTCTCCCCTCCTCCCATCCCATCAATCATCACCAGATCTTCAATAAAAGTAAGTGTCATGTAATTGTGCATGCCTTTTTCATTTTGTGTGTACTAAAATTAACATTTTTTTGTGGTAAAAAAAATTTTTTTTCATACTTTTGGGTGTCTTGCACGGATTAATTTTATTTCCATTATTTCTTATGGGGAAAATTAATTCGCATAGCGAACATTTCGCATAACGACCAGCCCTCTTGCACGGATTAAGTTCGCTATGCGGGGGTCCACTGTACCTAAAGATCACTCTAGCATATAATACAAGTGAGACTTGAGGACAGTGATTACTGCAGTAACCGACAATTATGGCTCATTAGAATGACCTAATCTTAAAAGACATATAACAAACTGATATTGGATGTTTTCAGCAAGGTGTTTTCAAATAGCACATGTGAAAAAAAGTTAAAATACTGACAGAGTACAGTGGACCCCCGGTTAACGATATTTTTTCACTCCAGAAGTATGTTCAGGTGCCAGTACTGACCGAATTTGTTCCCATAAGGAATATTGTGAAGTAGATTAGTCCATTTCAGACCCCCAAACATACACGTACAAATGCACTTACATAAATACACTTACATAATTGGTGGCATTCGGAGGTGATCGTTATGCGGGGGTCCACTGTATATAGGAGTGAAAGAAAGATGTAGGATTTACAAGTGCCCATGAGATCATTCAGCACTTATTTTTTTTTCAACAAGTTGGCCATCTCCCACCGAGGCAGGGTGACCCAAAAAGAAAGAAAATTCCCAAAAAGAAAATACTTTCATCATCATTCAACACTTTCACCTTACTCATACATAATAACTGTCTTTGCAGAGGTACCCAGATACAACAGTTTAGAAGCATATATAAAGATATATAACATATCCACCATACACACATGGTTCAAATGCCTTATAACAACGTACAAAAATGCAGCCATTCAGTAAGTACTTAAACTCAATTTTACTCAGTTACTGGCATAATAATTTTGTGAAGCTTTTGCTTCACAAAAAAAATAATAATTCAGTTTATTCCAAGACACATATTAGCTTTGACTAAATGCTGCTGCTGTACAGCTGTGGTGGTGTGAGGGGGTGTGTTTACTCTTTGCTACTCTTTGAAGGACGAGGAAGCATTCCCATAAGTTTACAAATAATACTGAGCATAACTTCATCTGCACCTCCTCCAATGGAGAACAACCGCAAATCTCGATACAGGCGACTCACCAGAACCTGAACAAAGTAGCATTTTTAAGAATTCATGCATAAAACAAATTCTCAAAATATTAACCCTTCATAACATTAACAAAAACAATTATCAAATGATATTTAGTAGTTAGTTTCTTCCTGTAATTATAGTGTGGAAAGTACAGGAGACCCTCATATTATACAACCTCGTGTTCCTCTTTTTTTCTTACCAACTATTTCATAAAGTACAACCAAAAATTTAAGAAATGATGAAAACTTTACAAAGCAAAGCATGAAATATTGGTCCAGCATGCCAAAGATTTTCAAAGCACTAAATTATACATAAAATTTGGGTACTATGCACTGTAAAAAATCCTTGTGATTACAAAACAATGTTATTTTCATCACGGCATATTGTATCTGGACATAACCATAGTACCAAAGAGGAATACTAGTGATTCTGGATATGCCAAGAAGAAGCAGTATAAATCAATGATGGATAAGACAATTTCAGAGAGGAACTGTAGTCGACAGGCTTCTTCAGTCAACACACAGGAATGTACAATATGCAAATTTATACAAGCACAATTGAGTGAGTGTTCAGGTCAGCAAGGTCACTGTATAAGGTGATCTCACTGCAGGAGGCCTACTGGTCCTTCTCATGATCTCATAAGAAAAACTGACAAAACACAACAGATGGCTGAAAGCTGCACCAATCCAAACACAAAATATAATCCCACAGAATAAGGAGCTTTTAGTTTAGCCAAACCTGTAGCACAAGTCATCTTACATAAACAGGTGCTGGTAGACCTGCAGTGTTTCCATCTCACAATTTACCCACAGTGACCTCAATGACTTGACCACTCACCTGATTACACTTGTATGAATTTGTTTGTTGTATATTCCTGTGAATTGACTGAAGAAGCTTGCCTACAGGCAATACGTATCTCAGTAACGCTTCTCTCTGCAGTTGTCTTTTTTCTGCCATTCGATGACTTTGTGCTGTTTGTTCCCATCAAGTGTGAATCAATCACATGTTGAAAAAATATAAGTTATGATTAGAAGTACTGCATGTGCTCTAGAAACTGCTTGTGAGTTTAGTGAATGAACCAACCATCCATACAATTAGAAGCAATGAAAAATGCTAAGAGTTTGACCAGTAAGTAGTACTATAGAACTGTGACCTGCACAAAAGAATACCAAGGTCTCTACAAGGCACAAAAGTACAGTGGACCCTCGACTTTCATGATTAATCCATTCCAGAGAGTCTGCTGAAAGTCGAAATTCATGAATGGCGAAACCATTTTTCCCATAAGAAATAATGGAAATCCAATTAATCAGTTCCAGACACCCAAAAATATAATTTTTTTTTTTAATTAAATAAAGATTTACATACAGAAAATGATGAGAAATCATGTACATACATATACAAAATAATAATAACATTACACTTACCTTTATTGAAGACTTCTGGGTGGATGGAAGATGGGAGGAGGGGAGAGGAAGAAGGTACACTATTGTTTGGAAGGGGAATCCCCTTCCATAAAGACTTTAGGTACCAAGTCATTTTCCGGGGTTACCTCCCTTCTTTGTTTTTTAATGGCACTGGGACCAGCTTGAGAGTCACTGAACTCCTGTCGCACAAAATATCTGTCCAGAAAGCTCTGTTTCTGGTGTCTTTTAAGATTTCCCAAAAATGGGACACAACATTGTCATTGTACATGTTGCAAACACGGCCTGCAACAGCTTTGTCAGGGTGAAGTTTATCCATTAATGTTTGCACTTCAGTCCACTTTGCACAAATGTCCTTAATCTTTGAAGAAGGCACCTTCCTCCCTCTCTCTTCCTCCTTCTCTGAAGCAATTTCCTGAGTTGTGGTCTGTTGCTGTTGCAGATGGAGCTCTTGCAGCTCTGTAATGGTTAGAGCTCCTCATTGTGGTCCTCCATCAACTCTTCCACATCCTCGAAACTCACATCCAACCCTATGGAATTCCCCAATGCCACAATACTTTTCACAACTGGCATAGGCTCCTCAGAGTCAGCCCCAAACCCTTCAAAATCCCTCTCTTGTACACAGTGTGGCCACAATTTTCTCCAAGCAGAGTTCAAAGTCCTGCAAGTCACTCCCTCCCAAGCCTTACCTATAAGGTTTATGCAGTGGAGGATATTGAAGTGATCTTTCCAGAACTTTCTTAGGGTCAATTCAGTGTCTGAGGTCACTTCAAAGCACTTTTGAAACACTGCTTTGGTGCACAGTTTTTTGAAGTTTGAAATGACCTGCTGATCCATGGGCTGGAGGAGAGGAGTGGTATTAAGGGGCAAGAACTTCACCGTGATGAAATGAAACTCCTGCACCATTTGCTCTTCCAAGTCTGAGGGATGAGCAGAAGCATTGTCCAGTACCAGGAGGCACTTGAGTTCCAATTTATTTTCCAGGAGGTATTTCTTCACACTGGGGCCAAACACTTCATTAAACCAATCAAGGAAAATCCCTCGTGACCCATGCCTTACTGTTTGCCTTCCACATCACACACGGTTTACTCTTGGCGACACTGTTTTTCTCGAACACTCTGGGATTTTCAGAGTGATACACCAGTAAAGGCTTTACTTTGCAATCCTCACTAGCATTACTACAGAACATGAGAGTTAACCTGTCTTTCATAGGCTTGTGTCCTGGCAGTGTTGTTTCCTCCTGCGTGATGTAGGTCCTCTTTGGCAATTTCTTCCAAAACAGGCCTGTTTCGTCACAACTGAACACTTGTCGGGGTTTGAATTGTTCAAACCATACCCCCGGCCGGGATTGAACCCGCAGTCATAGAGTCTCAAAACTCCAGCCCGTCGCGTTAGCCACTAGACCAGCTAGCCACAATTGTTCAGTCTCTATGTACCCCTTGAATTCCTCAACATATTTTTCAGCCACTTTTTTGTCAGAACTGTCAGCCTCGCCATGCCTTACCACAGTGTGTATGCCACTATGCTTCTTAAATCTCTCAAACCAGCCTTTGCTGGCCTTAAAATCACAAATATCAGCACTTGTTGCAGGCATTTTCTTTACGAGATTGTCATGCAACTGCCTTGCCTTTTCACAAATTATTGACTGCATAACACTATCTCCTGCTAACTGTTTTTGGGTAATCCACACTAACAATAACCTCTCCACTTCTTCAAGGATTTGTGACCTCTTTTTTGTCATCATATCTACCCCTTTTGTAACAACAGCTTCCTTGATTTGCTTTCCATTCACCATGGTCGAAGTCATGGTTGAATGATGTCTGCCATTTATCCTGGCAAGCTTTGCAACACGCACTCCACTTTCATATTTTTCAATGATTTCTTTCTTGAATTCAATCATGTTTCTCACTTTCTTTACCAAAGGGCTGGCACTAGCTTTCTTTGGACCTATGGTGACTTATTTAGCAGTTGCGAGCACAAAAAATAATGGATTACAGTGGACCCTCGCCTAACGAATGCATCACATAATGTTAAATCCGCCTAATGAAGCATTTGAGAGTAAAAATTTTGGCCCGCCTAACGATAAAAAACTTGCCCAACGTGATTCGTCCCAAACCTGTCCGTCTAGCCTGAGTACATCAGCTGCCCTACCGTCACTGTTTACAAGCCAGGGTGGCCAGTTTCATGCATACATTCGATACATTTTGTATTATTCCATTGTTTATAGTGCTTGTAACTGCTAAATAAGCCACCATGGGCCCAAAGAAAGATTCTAGTGCCAACCCTGTGGTAAAAAGGGTGAGAAATACAGTGGTCCCCCGCTTTTCGTAGTTCCCGGCAATCGTAAAATTCACCAAGCATAGGGATATTTTCGTATAAACATGGACTCGCTTTTCATAGGTTGACTCGCGAGTCGTAGTTCGTCCGGGACGCGTACGCACGGCGTGAGCCAGGGCGGCAGCCAGTCTGGCATTGTTTACCAGTGAGCGAAGGTCCCCTCGTGTGCTCCAGCGAAATATTTCATAATATTCCATTTATTTTAGTGCTTGCAAGTACTATAGGTAGTAGGTTGGTAGACAGCAACCACCCAGGGAAGTACTACCGTCCTGCCAGATGACTGTGAAACAAAAACCTGTAACTGTTTTGCATGATGGTAGGATTGCTGGTTTCTTTTTCTGTCTCATAAACACGCTAAGATAACAGGGATATCTTGCTACTCCTACTTACACTTTGGTCACACTTCACAGACACGCACATGCATATATATATATACATACATCTAGGTTTTTCTCCTTTTTCTAAATAGCTCTTGTTCTTTTTTATTTCTTCTATTGTCCATGGGGAAGTGGAAAAGAATCTTTCCTCCGTAAGCCATGCGTGTCGTATGAGGCGACTAAAATGCCGGAGCAATGGGCTAGTAACCCCTTCTCCTGTATACAATTACTAAAAAAGAGAAGAAGAAAAACTTTATAAAACTGGGTTGCTTAAATGTGCGTGGATGTAGTGCGGATGACAAGAAACAGATGATTGCTGATGTTATGAATGAAAAGAAGTTGGATGTCCTGGCCCTAAGCGAAACAAAGCTGAAGGGGTAGGAGAGTTTCAGTGGGGGGAAATAAATGGGATTAAATCTGGAGTATCTGAGAGAGTTAGAGCAAAGGAAGGGGTAGCAGTAATGTTAAATGATCAGTTATGGAAGGAGAAAAAAAGAATATGAATGTGTAAATTCAAGAATTATGTGGATTAAAAGTCAATTGTTGCTTTCCCCAAAAATTTTTTTTTTAAAAAAATTTTTAAAAAAAAATTTTTTTTTCCCTTTTTTTTTTTTTTTGGGGGAAATTTAAAAAAAAGGTTCCCCCCCCGGGGGGGGGGCCCCAAAAAGGTGTTTTTGGGTTTGGGGGGAAAACCGGGGGTTTTAAAGGGGGCCCTTTTGGGGGGGGGGGTTGGGGGGGGGGAAAAAAAGGGAAAAATTAAAAAAGGGGGGGGAAAAAAAAAATTTAAAAGGGGGGCCAAAAAAATTTTTTTTTGGGGGAAAAAAAAAGGGGGGTTTTAAAAAAAAAAATTTTTTTTTAAATGGGGGTTTGGGAAAATTT